CCCCCCCCCCCCTTCTCCCTCCCCCATCCTCATGGTGGGCGGTGGGAGCCTTGTCTTGGATTTGGGTACCAGCCTGGGGCAGGCAGCAGCTCAGCTCTGGCTTTAGCTCTGGCATCAGGGCTGAAGGTGGAGCCAAGCTGCTGCCTGCCCTGGCTTACACAGGCTCATTTGGTGGGCAGGGGACACGTGGCCAGGGAGAGCGAAGGGAAGGTAGTAAGGTGTGGGAACGAAACTACAGCCTGCCCCTCCACCCTCTGCATCCCTCACCCCCTTACCTTCTGCTCTGATCTGGTCTCTCTAGTCCTTTTCCAGCCTGGCTGGTGGGAGCTGCTGCCACTTCTACCTGGCTAGCCTGGGCTGAAGCGCTGCTGACCGCCCCAAAAGAGTACAGCTGCAGCAGAAGGTAAGGGGAGTGGGTGGGCAGAGAGTTGGGGGAAGCAGGCAGGAAAGCAAGGGGCAGGGGGTTTGGCTCCTCGCCCCCCACTACTACTTTCCCCACCACAGCGGTGGGGGAGCAACTTGAACATGACCTTCCATGAGTTATGGTATTCATGGAAAATTATAAACAACATTTATAATTTTCAAATGTACAGAATCCAATTATTGGGGAAGTCATCTTAAAAACTTGAAATACTCTTGGATTTTGGGCAAAAACTGTAATTATACTACTGTACCTTTCCATCTCCTCAGGAACAGATCCAGGATTTGCTATCTACAGTACCAGAGCAGTTTGCAAGAAAACCAAATTCCATTTTAAGAAGTGAACAGAACTAGATAACTAATGAAAACTCTACTTCTCTAATATCACTAATTGCAATCTGTGGCCTTCTTAATATGAACATAAGATTTTCAAAAACTTTCTTCCCAGAAAAAAATGCTTTATGACCATACCTCTCTGGCACGTCTTTTACCATCACAGACAGTCTTTTCTCCATCTCTTAAATGCAATAAAACTGCTTCAGAAAAAGTAGATTTATGTGCACCAGACTCTTTCCAAAGTTAAAAAGATCAACAGATTTAACATTCTCTTCAACATACAAGTGATGTTTGAATTGTTTCATGGGCTGATTACCTGCCAAATTTTCCTTTGTTTAAACTGAAGTTGTTTAGTAAGTATTTAAAGGAGGAGGTGGAGAAAATGAATTGTTCCCAGGCTGAAACGTTGTATGCCTGGAGCAGACTTTTACAGATGTATTTTATATAAACCTGAAAAACAGGGTTTGCAATGGAAATATTGACAGCATCTTTAACTATTCCAGCACTAGTAAGGTACCATGTTACTGAGTTACAGGGACTAGGCTGTTAAGCTGGAACATACTGCTTAACACTGATACCCTCGTGACACTGGCCTGCAATGGGGTTTTGGTAGCAAAGAACTGGTCTGGCCTGGCAGTTATTATTAGAGGGAGCGCAGAGGAGCTGTTGGCTTGAAGCCTCCTTTGAGACATGCATCTGATTTGTGCATCAGTTTGTCAGCTGGGAAGTCATCAAGATCTTACTCCTCAGCACTGGGGTAGAAGAGGGTTTGAGACTAGGCCGAGTAGACATGTGCAAAGAGGTTTTATTAAGAGGCAAGTGGGGTGCATCTACTCTGAACAGTTTATTACAGGTGGCCCAGTTCAACTGGTGGCTCAGAGCCGTGTGGACAAGAACCCTAACAAGGGTTAAGGTATTAACCCTTGACATGTGACTGCTCACAGCACGTTCTAAGTTTAACACTGCTTAACATTTCACAGATGTAATATAGTCCAAGTGCAGCCTGTAACTTCACCCCAAGACATGCAGCTTTGCAGCCTGAGCTCAAGACTAGAAGATGCAATGAGGTTGACTCCATCTGTAACAAGCCACTCCATCTCCATGCACCTTATTTTCATGGTATTTAAAATGGAGATACAGATCTGCATTGGAAGGAAGTAGCACACCGTGAGGAACCTAAATTGATGGTGGACAGAAAGACTTAAAAGCTAGAAACACCTTTATGTAGTTACAATTTATCCTAAGACCTTGCAGAGCAGAAGTATTGTAGCAAGCTTTACATTACATATAGCATAGCAACACTACATATCTTAAAGATAAAATACTTCTCTTGGGTAAAAGGAACACCAAACAGTACACTTCTACCTTTGACATAGCTCTTTTCAGCTTATATGTTGCATTTGTTTCCACTACCTGTAACCCCATTTCCCCTATTACTACTTCTGCAAGAGTGATGAAATATCACAGCCCTGTGTCAAATGGTCATTCATGCTTTCTGTTCTAATAATCACCCTAAAAAGATGGGAAGAAGTGTTTTCTGTGTAATGGTGTTCTGTTTTGCAGAGCATAAAAGAATAAATATTTAGTGAATTGGGCAACCTTGCACTCATTAATAGCCCCTAGTTGGACTGTGACTGGTTTGACAGAGGGTGGTAAGCTTTTATAGGGTAGTTACAGCTGCTTCCTGTTCAATTTTGGGCTTAAAGCCTGCAACCCCCAACGAGATATAGAAAGAGGACTTTTGAACACCCGCAGTCTAAAATTAGAGAGCTGGCACGGCTCTATAACCCAACTCATTTACCAGTTCAGGGACACGGATGCCTGAAAGGTGCGTTACAAATGGACACCCAGTCCAAGTGTTGAATTTGGCATTCAGATATCTGAGCTAACTGAAGAAATGTGTAAAATCACATGAGCCAGACAGCTCCCTGCTGACCACACATCTAAGGAAGTTCATAAGCACCGTTTATTCCAGCAAATGCATGGAATATATTGTACTTGTTAAACGTGCTCCCAATATGCTGGTTTCAGGCAAAAACATGCAAATAAAAGGCTAAAACCTCCCACTTGCAGTCAAATCACTCCTCATTTGAGGGATCTACCAGCTCAGATGCAGAAGACCTTTCTTTGACCTAATATGCTTTTCAGAGAGCTGTAGCATGCTGGGGAAACAGCAATTTATCATGGTGTTTACTCCTGCCAGCTCCTCAAAGATGTACTTATTCCACTATTTTTTTTTTCCGTTTGAGATCAGATTGGAAGACAGTCCAGTGTGCTTAAGTGTACGCTATGTGCAAAAATCTTCCAAGGCTTTGAATGATGGGTGGATGTGAATCCACAGATTCACAGAAGGTTAGGGCTGGAAGGAATCCAGTTTTCATCTGCCTTCATTATTTTAAAGGCAGACCCTAAGGGGTCATAATAGGAAAGCAAGAGGTCTGTCCATGCAAGTGCACATACAGATGACAAGCACCACAAGGCATTAGTTTACATTTTCATCATCATCACATTGGATGAAAGTGTTTAACTGCCTAGATGCATTTGCACTTACTTCATGCAGACTCCATTCATGCATGCACACACACCTCCTGTTTGATTACTTAGTTCCTATAACATTATTATAATTTAGCTTTATACCATTTTAACAGATTCAGTATTAAAAAGCTTAATAAATATGTGAAACATATTATATTGCCTCATCATAAGCTCTGAATTTCCCTCTTCCTGACTGTTCTTATACCTGGAAAACTAAGACCACTGAATGTTTCATTAGGGTTTTTTGTCCACCTAATACGCTCTAAAAACTTGCACCCACTTTTTTACCCCCTCTTTTTTTTTTTTTTGGTTAGGT